AAAGGTGAAAAAAATTAAGAAAAGCAAATTCCAGTGACATCTCTCCTAATTCTGGATATGGGATGCTTGCAAACAACTTCATACCCTTTTCCTCTCTCTCTCCCTACTCTGAAGGGTTCCTTCGTTATCCCACTAATTTTTCCCCAAAGTTGGAGGTTGTTATATTAATAAATAATTTTACAATGTCACAGCAATTGCAGGCCCTAAAATCCAGAGAAGGACAGTCACTGGAACATGCCCAAGTTTCTAGAGTGAGGGTATGGCAGACCACTTTCTGCTCACAGCAGGGGCACTCCTGGATCACCCCAACAGTGCTGAGTGCCGCTGTTTCTGCCCAGCCCCCTCCAGCATCACTCGTCTCAGCCCAACGCAACCTCTCTCTTCAGCTTCCCTCTGCCAGGGGAGAAAAGCCAACCTGTTTCATGCACCGTCACCAAAGCAACCGGATTGTCGGTGTCACCAACAAAAGCTCCTGGGGCAAAGCTTGGTGACGAGTAGGACCATCTGCACAGGTCTCCAGCAAACAATTCTCTCTGCTCCTGACAAAAGGATGTTGCAGTTCTTGCACCCCCAAAGCTAGCAGGTAGGACATCCAAGAGCAATTCTAATTTCTAATACAAAGCAGCAAGCACAGCAACCACGAACCAGCCCAGCGTACTGGTCAAGCCAGCTGCAATTAAGCCACAGAGACACAGATAAATTGCCCCCAGTAATTCTTTCAAAGCTGGAACAGTTTATATTGGGATTGTTCCTATGACCCAGGTCTCCAACTGAAGAGGACAGGACTTGACTCCATGTTCCCAATACACCAGCCTGTTTCAGCGCTCCTCCTACACAATTTTTCCTGTTTTGTTTCCCCACAGTCCACAGAGGCCACAGCAGCCCACGGGATCACCCCACAGCTAAGCAAGCAGACCCAAAGCTGCTGGAAGGGGAACACCTGGATGAAGAACAGGGTGAAATCAGGGAATAAAAAAAAAGGAGCAGGAAATAAGTGAGGCAACTGCTTTCTTCATGAGCAGCCTGGAGCTGGGTGCAGGCATTACGATTCTCAAACAGCTAACCTGAAAAAGTGTGATGTCCAGAGAGCGATGATTTAGGGTCAGGGAACAGCGGGGGAGAAGAGATCCACCACCCCCTTCACACACACCATGCTGTCTGATAACTGGCTGTAAGATTTTGATCTGATGTAGCACCAGGTTAGGTCACGAGCTCGGCTCTGGGTCAAAGAGAAAGCAAAGACAAAGCATCAGACCCAAGCTCCTCTGCACCCTCTGCCACGCAGAGTCCTTGCCCTCACCCTGCTTAGCAAAACATTTCAGAAGGCCCCAGTGAAACGCCATCATCGCTATTACAACTGGCTTATTTTTCTTCCCAGAGAAATGTGTTTCTGTGCTTGGAGGTTTTTAAATACACTGATCGAATCTGGCAGGGGTAACCAAACACATGCCGCATGGGAAACGGAATGAAAGAGGGAAGGGAGGGTACCAGCAAATATTTCTCTAGGATTGTTAGGCCTTTCAGTTACCATGGCAGTATGTTTCCATGGAAGCCAAATTTGAAGCCTGTTGCTGGCACAGGAGTGGCCCGAAGAAAATTATTAGTTGTGAAAATTAACCAAGCCACTCTCTGCCTGGAAAGCCAGCCCACCCACAGCCCTCAAAAACTAACGGCATCTTTCCATCCCTGATGAAGGACTTGATGAGCACATGGGTAAGGAAGAGAGAGCAGGAGAAAACACCACACAGTGACAAACAGGAGCTTCCTTTCATGCAACCAACAACGCAGAAACTGCAGCGGATGGGCACAAGGCTGCACGTGCCTTACGCAATGTTGCACATACAGGTCAGCGCAGCCCTACAGAGCATCCTGTGCCACCAGTTGCCGAGGGGACAGAGCGGGAGTACGCCGAGACTAGTGCTGTTGGGGTGCCATTTGTTTGAAATTATCCCCCCTTAATCATGCAGGGGGCCTACAAGGAAGCTGGGGGGGACTTTTTTCAAGGGCCTGTAGTGACAGGACAAGGGGTAACGGGTTTAAATTGAAAGTGGGGAGGTTTAGATTGGATATCAGGAAGAAATTCTTCCCAGAGAGGGTGGTGAGGCACTGGCACAGGTTACCCAGAGAAGCTGTGGATGCCCCATCCCTGGAAGTGTTCAAGGCCAGGCTGGATGAGGCTTGGAGCAACCTGGTCTAGTGGAAGGGGTCCCTGCCCACAGCAGGGGGGGTGGAACTAGATGATATTTAAGGTCCCTTCCAACCCAAACCACTCCGTGATTCTATGCTGATACATCTCCCTTGGTTTGCTCACCCACCTCCGAGGAAAAGCATGGGGAAGGGTAGGAGAATTTTCCTGGGAGCCACTTCAGTCAACATTAGAGATCAGCTTAGCTGCTCTCCTTGCTGGTCAGAGCATTTTGTTTGAATTCTTGAAAGTCACTTTTTTCTTTATCCACCCCCTTTCCCCACCAAAACCCAGCAGTTTTCTGCAGCCCCTTTCATTTTTCAGAGGCCAGGGAGCCAGCGGCAGCTGCCTGCTCTATTTTATCACCAGCACCTGAAAAAGCACAGCAGGGATTCAGCCCATTCCAAAGGGGAGACTGTGGGATTCAGCAATGAAGTGGGGCCATGTCCTATAGGCTGCCCCAGCACAAGACATTCAGGTGATGAGAGCAAACACAACACGACTTCAGAAGGACAGATCTCCGAGACTCTGGATTTGTTGACCTCCACCTAGAACAAGAGCTTCTTCCCCACTGACATGAAAATAGTATCACGAAGGCCTACCGAATTATGCCTTCCGGGGACGTAACACCTAAAGACAGCCGAGACCTCATCAAAAGGTCAAAGGGAAGGAGGTACCTGTGGTGCAGAGACTGTTGGACCATCAGCTGGGTCTGACTTCTCATTCTGAGAAAAAAGAGCAGCACTGTTGATGTCCCCTTTTCACGCTTCCACACAAACGCTGCTGCTTGGACTTCTGGAGTCTGAAAGGCTCCGGGGCTCCATCCGAGAGGAGTAGTTTGCATCATACCACCACCCCTGGCCAAACTTCAGGATTTTTGCTTCATAAAGAAATCAAAAGGGAAAAACATGACAAGTGCAGACAAGTTCCTGAGCTCACTGGCCCTCAGTTGTCTGACCTCTTACAAAGGTCAGAAGGAACACAGGATCCCTCCCAGCCCTACCTGTGCAGTCATAGCCTCACTTCACCTTACAAAGGTAGAGATTAAAGGAGACTCCAGAGATTGATAAAGCAACACAGCCATAGAAGAGGGAGGTGTGCTTAGTCTTCAGGGACTTAAATTGCCTTAAACCCAATGTCACACAGAGAACTTAGCAATCATCTGTTTCTCAATGTCACCAAAAATCAAGAACAAACCACACAGAATCCTCAAATGTGTTAAATCCATAACTTAGAGCATTTTAATAAAAGTAAAGCACATTTCATAATCTGTCCACTGGCACAACGTATAAAATCTTTTAAATAACAACTTTAATATTAGTCACAAAACACAGCATGTTGTATAAAAATAGCTGTACGCACGCTGCTAAAATATAATGTAAAACCACTCTGTATAGGCCACGCAAAGGCTTTGACCTTTCCATTTCCTAGTGCCTGCTGGATCTGCTACTTCATTCCTTCTCATCCTGCTTGGGGGAGTTTTGTGCTGGCACCCGGGGGCCTCCTCGTTCCCCCCTCCGCCCTGCACACAATGCCCTGGCAAAGGGTTTCAGAAATGGCCAACAACTTTAAGGTGCATCACATCAGGCATCTTAGCAGCCCAAGTTTCACAGCTTGTATTTCAGAAAGTGCTCGACATCCGTGTCCTTCTCCAGGGACACCTCACCTTGGTCACTCAAACTCTTCAGCTTTTCAGCCAGTACCCTTCCAAATTACTCCTCACCCCTGGCGCACCAGAGTACTAAAATTGGAAGCAAAAATCTAGACATTCAGCCCAAGATCATTGAAGGAGGCAGAACACAACAGCTGCAGCACCATTTCTGCACAGATGTACCTCTGCATTTGATAATCCTAAAATATTCACACAGTAAAATTCACTGAAGCCTGTTGTGCTGGTCAACACCTGTCTGTTCACCTAAGAACTCCAGGTAATGCACACACAAAAGGACTTGGAGACATATGAGTTTACAGGAAGGAAGGTATAACTGAGGATAGCATTAATATAGAAAAAATTAGATACTAAATATAAACTGTTATATAAACAGTCTGTTATACTGTGGTTATCAGACTTAATGTAACTGCCAGAGAAGATGACACACTGGACAAAAAAAAGATACGGAGTACATTTTAGTTAAGAACAAGAAGATGTCAGATAAAGAAATAACAACCCCCAGCTTTCATCCCACATGCTGATACACAGACTATCAACAGGATTAAAAAAGCAACCTGCTCTTCATCTCTACAAGCCTGAGCAACCCTTGTCCCTTTACAGGATCATCCTCGTACAATTTAAGCCCAAGGAAGGTCATGGAGACAGAGATTCACCCAGTCATCATCTTCGTTTCCTGAGCGTAGAGGGAAGGGCACTGCTGGTTGAAAACAGTCGCTGCTGCCGACACTCGCAGCAGCACCTTGCAAGATGTGCCACGATGGAGAGCAACCACAGGTAGGCAGATGGTGCTTTTCCAGGTAAAGCAAGAAAGTGGGGATTTTTTTTTTCCTGATGTTTTCAAGTGTGCATTTTAAAACATGCTCTTCTAAGAAAAGCATGAGGAAAGCTTAGTGATTTATCACCTCGGATAATATAGCAGCAAACCCATCTTCTCTAGTTTAAAAAGATCAGTTAAATTATCTTAATGCACCAAATCTGACAGGCAAAAATACCATTCCCATAAAAAGCTGTCCCCTTAAAGTTACAAGTCACATCACAAGAGCAAGCTTCTAATCAGAGTCAGAGACAGAGAAGCTTTTATCGGCACTGACAATCCAAATAAGAACACAGGCTGATCTTGCCAATCCGCAGCAGGAAAGAAGTTTAAAAGGCTTTATGGGGAACTGGCTGAAAGTCGCCAGTTTTGGTGGCATGTGTCATTGCTCTGCGCTTGGCAAGGCGGGACTTGGATGGAGGAGAAAGCTTCATGGAGCACACAGCATGGGCAACGTTCTCCTGCTCCACGCTGAGCTCGTTCTCGTGCTGAGACAGCTGGCGGTTGAGGGCTATAGCCTCAGCAGCAAAAAGCGTCAGGTCTTTGGTGCTACTGTTCCTTTCAAGGGAAAAGGAGAAAGTCATTACTACACATGCATCACCTCACCTGGTCACCCTCACAGCAGAATACCGATTTCCAGGCAGTTTTACTTCTCCTGTCAAAACATCGACACAGCAGGCAAATATCTGATCAGTTAATATTTGCATCTCTCCTCACTGTGAGGACCAACAATACATAACAAAAACGTCTCAGGGATTTTGGAAACTGCCACAGCTCTAGTCCTCAATCTGCCAAGGACTCCCCACGTAAACCTGGGAAGCCACCCGAGATGCCATGTTTAATTTCTGCATGTTACAAAAGGATGGGCATACGGGGCAAGTCTGTTGTTTTTTTTTCCTTCAGAGAACTGCAATCCCACTGTAACTGGATGTCCGACTTAAGGAAATGTGTTTCTGAGTGGAAGAAACACCTGGAATTGCCAGTGGCAGCCATGGAAATAGAAATGGAGATGTGTGACTCAGGTTCTCTGGTATACAGAACCTGCCATCAAATCACTCCAGATGAGGCTTGTCCTGCTCACAGGTAAATTGATACTGTGATTACCACCAACAATAGAAGTCAGATCCGACTCCGTGTGTATGATGATTATTCACCCATCAGAACATAATCTCTTTGGATAACACACGCCTTTATGCCTTTTTTCCCCTCTCCTGGGTAGCCAACTGCCAAAACCATCATTATTTCCCATCTAAGATTAGCATTGCACTGCAGGAACCCTCTCCAATGCCTTTCCCACAAACAAGCAAGATTAGATCATAAAGAAAAATCAGAGCTTCAGCATTTCTGATGTTCTTAACAAAATTAGTGCTGCATGTTTATCAAGTTCCACTCTCAACCAGGGATCTCACCCCAACTTGTCACCTCCTATCTCTCCCCATTCTTTCAGAAATGATTCTTGGCCAAGTTTACAGACATTTTAAACACCAAATTATTACCTTTGAAGAACTTGAGGAGTAGGTAATCCCCGTTCAGGAGCCTGCTAGAAGAAGCAGTTAAAAAAAGTTAGTTATGCATTAGGAGCTGGGAACCAAGCTTTCCCAAGAGAGAGTGATAAACAACAGGCAACTCCCCCAAATCTTTATAACTGATGGATATTGCATGTGAACTAATTCACTGCGAGTTTACAGATCACATTTCATGATCCATCTCCCCTAACACGAAGATACCTCAGTTTGCAGGTATAAGACTAAAGCTTTGGAAGCTCTCCAGAGGGTCTATCCTTTCTTTCTTGAACTGGGAACACTAATGCAAAAGCAAACACTGCTGGTTTTAAAAAACCTATCTACCAGCATTCTGCATTGCTGCATTAAAGAGTAACATAATTCGTGTACTTCAGTGTTTGGTATTCACAACAAAGCCATTTAAAATGCATAAAGCAATAATTAAAGAAAAAGCCCAAACACTTAAAGCTTAACAGATTGATCCAAATATTTACCACACAGAGCTCCAGAACACATAAAGCCACTGTGTATCAATTAATCAAGATAAGAGCACTAAAACACTCAATGACTCCATTAAGAGTTCAGAGACAGGGAACAGCTTGTTTGTCACCTTGGAAGCAGAATAACCCTTAACAATTATATATATAAGGCGGATACATACTCCTTGAACCCATGAATGTTGCAAAACTTGAGCAGCACTAAGTCGTTCTTTGGCGTCACGAACCAGCAACTTTGAGATGAGATCTTTGGCCTCAGAGGATATGTGCGACCAGTCCTTGTCAGGAAATTCATACTTGCCTTCCTGAATGCTCTCAAAAAGCTTGTTCTAGTAAAGGAAAATCTATTTAATTTAAATAGCAACTAGAGTGCAAACAGAAGACTTCTCAGGTGGGATTCTTCTCACTCAACTTTATATACCTAATGTGGGTGAAAAGTGAAACCATCCATTCTCCTTATGGAGTCAATGGAGAGTGACAAGCAGCTCCACAGAGTAATTCAGCGCATCCCAAGATGGACACGACACATTGCCTGTTGAAAACACCTTCCCCCACCACCCTCCCTGAAACAGAGGCCTGTGTACTCTGTTTTTAGAAAGAAAAAATTCAGACCCTGCACAGAGACTCTCCTAGGGCTCAACTTTTATCTGAGGAATTGTGGCAACGACCATTACAGAGAACAAGAGGATGTGGGGTCGGGGGGAGGACGAGCAGCAGCTCTGAGATCTCACATCAGGAGGAGAAAGAGGCAGTTGCCAAACCTTAATTTAGAAAGGGCTATCATAACTCAGCTGGTACACTCCCACCCTCACTTCTCTGACAGCTTACCCTCCCTGACAGCTGGGACCTTACAGACTGGGTTACAGACACAGCTGAGTTAGACACTACCCTTCACTGCTGGTTCTACGGCAAGTCTCCCACTTTCAGATCCCGGTGCAAACTACATCCCCACAGCAGCCCAGGACACCCGCATTCACCTGGCAAACTCTGCAGACCTCTCCTCTGTCCCAGCCGCAGTCTGTGCCACAGTTGCCCACAAAAGGAGGGTAACCACTGAGCATGATGTACAGAATCACTCCCAGGCTCCAGAGATCACACCGCTTATCGTAGAACGTGGCCTCCTCCGTGAAGACTTCAACCACCTCGGGTGCCATGTATTCTGCAGACCCACACTAGGAAACCGAATTCAAGCAAGTTTTCAAAGGGAAGATCAAATCAAAACAAGACTCAGGTTTATCATTCTCCTCTCTTCAGAGTAGGTAGCTTGGTCTAAAAGCAGAATCAGGCATCAGAGAGTACTGAAGTTTACTGCTGGGTTTCACTGCAGGTCTCATTTTGTTAAGTCAAATCACAACTGCTGCATCCCTCAAAGGTTAAATGGAATTGCCAAGAGCACTGAAACATTTTGTGAGCACACTGCACAGGAAAATTGACATATTTTGGGTGCAAGGACGAGAGAAACCCAATAGAAAGCAAAAAGAGTTCCTACTGTTCTTTAGCAGAATCATAAGTGGTTCCAAGTGAAACTGATCTTTTCTACAGGGTCAAAATATTAATGTACATATTCCCTTTTTTTTTTTTTTAAGTCTTCCCCATTAGTTATCAGGCTTTTCAGAAAGTAAACAAGTATATCATGGGAGGCAATTTCTAGAACAGACTCCTGCAAAACAGTCAGATATTTCTTTGATGGTAATGCCAAGAGCATAGAACTGCAGTTTTTCTAACTAATGTGTATTATCAAGGCACACACTGATTGGAGAGCTTGTATTGCTCTTAGCTCATGGATCCTAGCTCCACAACCCAAACATGGGGAAGCAAACACACAACTAAGGTTCCAAGTCACAAGCACACAAAAAAACTCCATGAAAAGCTTCCTCATTTGACTGGGTAAGAGAAACAGGATCCACATGTTAACTTGCCAACGGTAGGATTTACACAACGAGCTCCTGTGCATTTGTATATTTGTTCTCTGACAGGTAAACCAGGAGTGTATTTACCACCCATATACCCACTTTAAACGAACTACCCACCACTGCGTGTAGTTGCAGCGAGCCCTTTGGAAGCTCTCCTCTGGAGATAAGAAAAATTGATTTATGGTAGAAGAGAAAGAGCCTGAAGCCACAGTAGGTCTCTTACCGGCGTTGTTAATTCGGGAGTAGTTATTGGTGTACACGCACTGTTCAGCTTCACCCCACTACCAAGATCGAAGTCACAGATTTTTACTGGTGATACCTAAAACCAAGGACAAAACAGTAAGAGGTCCAGTAAGACTGGGAGTAATGCAACATGTACGAGTACAGCGCCACACTGAAAACACCAGGACAAAACCCAAGTTGTTCTACCATGAGGACCAGTGAAACCCAGCCTCCTACAGGTATATTCCACTCCTTGCAGTTGCCCCCTCTGCCCCAGTTGCTCCCCATCGCCAGCATCTGGCCCTGTTAATATTTTTATTTGGCTAGGCAAGGGCCAGCACACACTGGGGGAGTTTGGGAGCTATACGTAACATGACCAGCTGGCCTGTAAATGCTACTTGTCCATCTGGGTACAGCCTCAGAACAGCTGAGCTGCTAGGCTGTCACTGCCATGCCCTGTCTAAGAACAGGTGGCTTTATCTCCTAGCCAGATGCTCACATCTGTACAGCTCACAGAAGAATTTAGTCTCTTTTTGGCTTCAGTTCTATTAAAAGTTAGTTGAAGATCACTAATGGGTTCAAAAGTCTTCAAGAAGAGAAAAAGAATGTGAGGGCTGCCTTTGGAAACCAAGTTAAGAAACACAATTCAGAAGGTTAAGAGACCAGAGCAGCACCTTTTCTGGAGATTCACACAGGATGTTTTCAGGCTTCAGGTCCCTGTGAGCAATACCTAAACAAAGTACAAGTGTTCATTAGAGAAGATACTCTCCTGTCTTATTTCTCATTAGCTCTCTTTATTACGTGGCCTGGGAAATATTCTAGGCCTGTGTTTGCTACACAGCCCCCTCCTTAATGATACTGCAAATAACTGAATTTCAATGCGTGTTTGTTAAAAATTAGTGTTGCATCCTGCTATGCCTTTATCATCCTTAAGGGTACTAGGGTCAGTCAAGCAAAGAAGAACCTGCTAACACCAGAACTTTTTGGCTTAGCCCCAAATATCGAATCATCATCAAATAAATTCTCCAGCCTGTCCAGGTCCCTCTGGATAGCATCCCTTCCCTCCGGCGTGTCGACTGCACCACACAGCTTGGTGTCATTGGCAAACGTGCTGAGGGTGCACTTGATCCCATGGTCCATATCGCTGACAAAGAAGTTAAACAGCACCGGTCCCAGTACCGACCCCTGAAGAACGCTGCTCGTCACTGGTCTCCAGTCAGATATCGACCATTGACCACAACCCTGAGTGCAGCCATCAAGCCAGTTC